TACTAAGAGACTCTCTCGATGCACTCGACGATCAACTCGGCACTAGACTTTGAGACACTTGCTCTTAGCTGACTCGATTAGGCACTCACTGACTGACTATCAAATCGATGGACTCCGCACTGACTCGCGATCGACTCGCTAGACGAGACACCGACTGACTCTCCGCGTACTAGCAGGGTTTATATTGCTTTTGGCTTGTGTTCGAGAACATTCTGGGTTTAAACAGTAAGAGTTCGTTCCAGAAAGTTTTCCAGCGTCTATGGCATATCGCCAAATGGGCGATTCCTCGCCAAATATGGTAGCCTTACATTCCCTTGCCATTTTCTGGCAACCTTAAACCTGCTTTGCGGGGAAGCTATCTTACCGCCGCCTGGACATTTCGTAACAATATGTATTCTCCTAAGGGTGTGAGAGGAAATCTGGAGAAGTGCCACTCTTGCTCGGAATACCTTTGTTCTTGGAATCAGTGTCAGATTAAATTTGAGCTCTAATAATTATACTAACCAAAAATAGCTTGTTGAGCAAAGAAGCATTTCACTGATTCATATGTTCTGTTTGCTATTTTTGTTAGTGCTCTTAACAAGCTATTTTTGGTTAGTGTATAAATTGAATTTATTTAATTCCCGACAGGCAATATTTTGCTGCTTTGATTATAAACCAAGAACTAAGACTAACCAACAAAAGCTACAGAATTTCAGACCAGTCTGAAAACTCTTACATAAGCCGAATTTAAAATTGTCCCATAAATCAAGTTAAATATTGCCAAACGTTTGAATCATCTGAAAAAAAAAACGTTCGGTCATCTGAAAAAATTAAACCTATCAGATGAGTTAAAGAGGAGCTCTAAATCCTCATCCATTCGAAAAAAAAAGGGCAAAAACGATCTCCCGATTGTTTTAAAATGTTGTATCAACTATGTTATGGACAGAACTGAAGGTGATATGGTATTTAAGTGTTCATGCAACAACTTTAATTCACTTCGGCTGTATTTTATAGATGAAAAAGAATGATGACGTAAATCATCATTCAATTTAATTAGAAAAATTCATTTATTACATGCATAAATATTATTAGGTACATATTTTGCATTTTAATTAGGTGTTTATCAAAAAATTCAATAAATAAACCTACTTCAGTCTTTTTCTTTTTTATTTCTTTTAATATTGTAGAAATTTTATAACCGATCGCATTAACAACAGATCCATTATAATTGTGTTCTTTAACTATTTTGCAGCAAAATACTGTATTCCTGCATGCCTTTCACTGCTGTTTCCTCCTCTATTGGCAAATTTCATAAACAAATATTTAATCTTGAATTTAAGATAAGAAATATCACGAGTTGTCTATAAAAACCGTTGGAAATTATAGAAAAAAAAAAAAAAAACGCATGCGTTAAAACGACGTAGCTTGACAGAAAAATTGTTACCAGATGGTTGCTCGCGCATTGTAGCTTGAGTTTAGCATATTCTGAAACTTTGGCGAGTTCTACTAAGGGGGTTGCACTAATACATAAGTACCGACGATATTATCTACGAGGCGGTTGAAGATGAAGTTAATCGTGAAATAGAGGACGAAGCAATTGACTCGGCTTTGCAGAGAGAAACATGCAACAATGCTAGAATAACAAATTTTATTAATGTATATTGCGATTAATTTTTTATTTAATCTCCCTTATTCATATTTTCATTTATTCATTTTTGTTATGGAATTTTTTTAAACTACTTTTAACTTGTATATAAATGAAAATTAAATGCGGATTTGAAACTAGGGAACTACTCTTATCTGCGTCCTCAGGTCGCCAAATTTCTCGACAAATATTTTTGGCGAGAAACTCCACGTTGCCATATTACTATCTAAATTTTTTGTTTACATTTCGAACTTTAAGCCTAAAATGTCTCCAAAAAACGCGAAAACCACGTTTTGAACGCGCAATTTAAGCTAAAATTCCGAAACAAAAACAAAAAATTTAGATAGCAAAAACGTAATAAACGTTTAACGTAATAAACGTAATAAACACAGAAACGTTTAACCAAAAATATTTGACAAGAATCCATGTACACAGCGATATGTTTTAACTTAAAAAAACATCTACGAATTGCACAATCTAGGCAACGAACGAATCTACGAAATACGCACACCTCGCTTTAATAAATTAACATAGCAAAAATAAATTTCAAAGAATACCATGTACACAGCATTCTGTTTCAACTTTAAAAAACATCCACGAATTGCACAATCTAGGCATTACGCACGAATCAACAAAATAAACTAAAATAAATTTCAAACAATTCAAAAAAAACAACAATAACGACAGAAATTCATACTAAAAAATCTGATGTGTACACCACATGACTTCCTTGTATGGAATATTAAATTATATGCATTTTTTCTTGCATTTCATTTAACTTATTAGATTGAATTAAACCTACTTCGCCGACAGCGCATAAACCACAATAGAATAAATGCATTCTTTAAAATTCACTTTGTTTACCATAGCGACACTCTGCCGCTAGGTTTACTTAACAGTATTATATTTCGTCCATATTATAACTGATAATGCAAAAAATTTATATCATTTAAAGAATAGAATTATCTAATCGTTGCCACATGTTCTATTCAAATACTATACCAAAGCTAGAACGATGTATAAAAGAAATTAAGCAAACAAAACGAAAAAGAAACAGTTTTTCTCAGACGATTGAGTATTTCTCATTCGATTAATTCAGTTTTCACTTCGCGACAAGGCAAAAATACATAAAAACTCAAAATATCTGTATTAAAAATTACGAAGTAAATCTTAAATACTTATTTCCTGGAAAAAAATTCCAGAAAGGATTAAGCATGATTTAATTCGCAATAATAAATGAAGGCGTTATTTTTGTGTTGCGAAGCTTAGTGTCTCTAGATTGGCAAAAATCTACAATTCTGCTGTTTCAAATGTAAACAAATATGTCCGCCATGTTATTTAAAACTTAACCGCACTTAAACAGCTTTTAAATTGTTGATAATCGTACAAATATTGCTTCCAGAATTACGAAAGGCATAAAAACTTGAACCGGAAGATAAAAACAACATAATTCAATCATTTTTAAAGCAAAAAATGTACAATTTACAAACATATAAGAGTAAAGCAACTGAGATCACTGAGCCGGGTAACATAGTGGCTATATATATAAATATATTTATATACGTTTGGTGCGGCCGATTGAAACCAAAATACGAGGTGCACATCTACATGTTATGGTTGTCTTATATACAAAATTTCAACGTTCTGAGGCTACTCATTTTTGAGTTATGCGAGATACGTACGTAAGCACGCACGTACGTACATACGTTCGTACAGACGCCACGAAAAAATTCTCTTCATAATTCATTTTATAGCAGTTTTTCAGTTTTTTTTTTTTTTTTTTTTTTTTTTTTTTTTTTTAGGAAAAGAGTCTTTTATTCTGTCCTTACGTATAGATATTACGCAAAGACATCGTTAAATTGCATTCGAAAGCGGTCAAAGTTTTCGTTGAAAAATGCTGCCTGAAGCTTTTCGCGATTACAATACTTCCTTTTTACTTCGTACAAGGAAGTAAAAAACAATGAACATAACATTCTACAAAATAAGAACAAAAATAAAATAAAATGCACTTACCATGAGTGAATGCTTTTTCGAACAGCAGAAATACCAATTTCATACCGCCTTTAACATGCCGCCACATAATCACTTTCCTAATTATATGACAGCCAGCACACTATCCAGGAAATTCATACTATGGTTCACAAATAAATGTTCAAAACCTTCTTTTCCTAAATCCTTGTAAGATTTCCATCTATCCTAAAAAATAGTTGTACCAGGCTCAATCCACTCTTTAATACCCTGCATCAGCGTTTCCCTACTTCTATCATGCACAGCACCTAAAAATAATCTCGCAGATCCTCTTTCCACACTTCTAAATACCCACTGCGCCTCAACAGGACGGCCACAATGATATTTCTTTTTGCCGAACTTCGATTCATCAATTTCCACCACTTTATCTTTCCCCCCTGTCTTCTCAGACACAGAGCATTATATAGAGCAGACTCGTTAAAAACTCCAACATCGTACCTTTTAATACTAAATTTCCTTTTGCACACAATCTAAACTACGCGACTGAAATCTTCCCACCACGTCTCTCATTGCAACATAGGCCATTTCAAAACACGCATGAAACGAACCATCGAGCAATTAAACTACTCAGCAAAAGATTTTTCAACGCCAACAGGGTTGCTGTACAACACACAAGCGAGCCAAAAACAGCGCAGAACACATATCGCCACATTTGGTGATATTAGGACATATATAAGAGTAGATCCGAAACTAGAATACATCGACCAGCACTGGTTGAATATTGACAAAACCTGAATGGCTAATTGAAACCTGTTCAGTTAGGCTTAGATAGGACGAAATCTGGCACCATAGGCGATTAATACAGTTTACGCTGGAGTAAATTAAAGATATTAATAAATTCAAAACAAAAACACATTTTTATTTGGTTGTAACTTGTGAAAACTTAATTTGGCTGTACCTCACGAAAATGCTTTGAGCTGCAATATGAGTAGATTCAATTGCTTATATTTCAAATAAAAACTCAGAGTAGATAAGTGAGTGCATGGGAGTAGCAGATACAGATTTGAACGAATTCTTCTGCTTAATGAATACCGTTAATTCAGTAAATATTTAACGGGCAAAATACAGCTTTTGTTTAGTATTAAGACTCTAACGCTAAGAGAAGTTACAGTGTTCCATCTTATTAGTCTAGATATACATCATAAATACACAGAATATGAATGTGCATGTGCACATCATACTCTAGGTACACACATATACAAGATGTGAGTGACACATATACATACATATTGTGTCTCTTATGAATCATGTACGAAGTGTGTCGTACTAACTGATGTCTTCTTGATAAAGAACTGTAAAGAGCAATAATATAATATTAATTCAAATTCGTCACAATTTATTACAGAAACCATTGATGGGTGCAGATCAAAGGGCCACCTGCTGCTTATGTTGTCGTAGAGGTGTTGTCAGCGTCCGGAGTACCTTGGAAAGGTCAGCCTACTGTTGCGGGGAGAGCATTCGGCTCAAAGCAGACATTGACAACCAGAGCGAAGAGGTTCTCAGGATCAAGCTCAAACTGGTACAGGTAAATAGATTCCCAGTGCCTAAAAAAAACATGATAGTCATTCTACATATACACTGATCAACCAAAACATTACGTTCGCCTTGCTGATATTTAAAGCAGCTGCTACTCCTCTTGGCATGGATTCTACTAGTCTCCGGTAAGTGTCTCAAGGAAAATATACTAGATTTGCTTATGGATCACGGGAATAAGGTTGACCATTGCACGTTTCGGTACTTAAATACCGAAGAGAATCGATCGGCTTCTGTCGAAAACATGCTCCAAAATGAATTTCTGACTTAGTACTGTCTGAAAAGTTGCAATGTATCTTACGATTTAAGAAAGGGAAAGCAGATTGAGTTTAAGTAAGCTGATTTTTAACAAAAGTAAAACTTTATGTACAGTTCCCATGTTTACATGCTACAGTTTTGCTTCACCACAGTTTATAGAAAAATCTGCTGCTGCAGATAAAACTACTTGGATAATTGTTTGAAAGTCATTGTTTCCCTTACTCTTTCCCCGGGTGGATCCACGTGCTGATGTGCAGTACCCTGTTGATATGTTTTGCCCTTCGATTTTGTTGTGTATGGGCACCAGTAGTCAGATCCATGAAATTATGGTTACAGCCGAAAACATCGCGGCGAAAACATCGCAGACGAAAACGTCGCGGAGAAAACAACGCAAGGCGAAAACATCGCAGTTATAAAACATCGCGGTACAAAACATCGTCGTCGAAAATAAAGCGGTTTAAAAACTTCGCAGTTTAAAAACATCGTCGTCGAAAATATCGTGGTAAAAAATAAAGTATCTACAAATCATCGCATGACGATAACATCGCAGAAAATACTTTTTTCAGGTTTTAATAATTGTAAATGGATATTCCCGTAATGATTTGTGAGCGCAAGATGGAAAGAAGGATAATTTTTACTTTCATATTTTTTATTAATCAATCAATTTTTGCTGAGATAATAAGGAAACTTAAGCATAGAAAATTAATGCAACTTATAGCACTTAATAGAATTTTAAACCGACATAGCTAACTAACAAAGGCCATTAATAAATCATTTTTTATAAAGTTTTTACTGGTAATTTTTCATGAAAAGTATAATCTATAAGTTGCATTTAATTTTCTATGCTTAAGTTTCCTTCTTACTTTTTCAGCAAAAATTTATTAGTTAATAAAAAAGTGTGAAAGTAAAAATTATCCTTCTTTACATCTTGCGCTCACAAATCATTATGGGAATATCCATTTACAGTTATTAAAGCCTGAAAAACGTATGTCTGCGATGTTATCGTCATGCGATGATTTGTAGATACTTTATTTTTTTACCACGATATTTTCGACGACGATGTTTTTAAACTGCAAAGTTTTTGAACCGCTTTATTTTCGACGACGATGTTTTGTACCGCGATGTTTTAGAACTGCGATGTTGTCTCTTTGCGATGTTTTCACCTACGATGTTTTGTAGCACGACGTTTCGCCTTGCGTTGTTTTCTCTGCGACGTTTTCGTCCGCGATGTTTTTGCCGCGAGGTTATCGGCGGACACCGAAATTATATATGTGGTTTGACGTAAAATGGTGAAACCATAGCTTTTAAAACCTGAGATTAGTATCCTTTTTAGTAGTTTGAGAATATGATATCTTTATGAGTTATTTCTTTTTTTCTTATTTTCGAATGTCTCTTTACAGCTTTATAAGAAAACTTGCAAACGCCAACGAAAATTTGAGGACTGAGCATTCACTTTTTTAATACTTCTGTCTGTTTCATCAATTTTGTTTAAAGAATTTTGTCTTCCAAATTTGAACACACGATAGCACACATTTTGCGGAAGTAATTATTCTAGGCAATTGCAGCTTTAATCAGCAATGTCTAATCTTATTCTTTGCAGCATTTAATACTCGCCAACTATATCCTCAATCAGAAAAACGAATGCCTGCTGTGAGAAAAAGGATATAAGAACCAACAGTCGGAGGAATTTCACCTAGCGCAAAATTCTACTTTTTGAATGTAGATGTTGTATTTGCAAATCGGCTTGGAAGAGACATATAATCGTATTCAGTTTCTATTCTTACAAACGCGTTCCTGTAAGATCATTTCTGTCAGTTTAGAAGAACAAAATTACGTCTTCCGCTTTGGATGAATAAAGTCAAATTTTTAGTTTAGCGGGATGAAAGTGATATGTGAGAAATTCGAAATATGATTAGCAATCATCAAGCAGTAAAGAACTTAACAAAAAAAAAGTTTACTAAATCCAGAAGCCAAACAAAATCAAATCGTTGTACCATATCTGAAACTTTAAGGCGTGTTTGAGAATATAGAAAATGTATGCTCATGAAAATGCGTGAACTCACTTTTTCTTGCAATCTGTCAGAAGATTTAGAATCTTCCTCAAATCTGATACTTTGCTGTTGGCTTATGCAAAAATCAGAGCACCGCAAAGGTCAATTTAAAATGTTCCAGACATAGGTTCTATCCGTCATCTTCATTGAAACAAATGAAATCTGCGATACAAATCTTGATAGATTTAAGGAAGCTTTTATTGCTGAAGATATAAATTCCGTACAAGCTGTGAACCTTTGTTCAGATCCAAATAACTCTTCCTAGAAGCTACCGTAGGCTCAAGAAAATTCGAATGCATTTTGTTTCTTGTGTTTGCTTAAGCTGAAGACAAAAGAAGGCATAATCTTTTGATTATAAAATTACTTACTGAAATTACTACAAGTTATTGGATTAGTAAAAGCAAAAAAAGGGGGGGCTGAAAAACATATTTCATGTTCGTTTATATCACTGTAGATGATATTCTGACTCACTGGTCATTACAGCAAAACTAGTTCTAGAATTATGGTACCATTGTTACTGTGAAAACAAAATTCTTGTTGATAGAAGATTTAGAGATTTATAAGGATTTTATTTTGGAGATAAAAATATTTTCTCAGATAAATGGTAGAAAAAATAATTTTCTGTGGAAATACCGTAAAATCATATCGCTTAATTTGTATGTAAATTACTTTAATATGCAAAAAGAGTAGGAAAAGAACAAATCTTCTGACGCAAAACCTAATTAAAAAAGTTGGTTTGGTTTAATTAATTATGGTAAAGCATTCGAGGGCTATTTGCCTAAACGGATAAATGCCTTCATGGAGGACTTTCTAAGGGAAATTGACCTGTTACACATGGGGAAAACCTCAAAAATGCGCATGCAACCAATCCGCTTGCGGAATTTGAACTATAGTCCGAACCACCAGTGCTGAGCGACTTCACCACTTGGCGGCTGGTGTATCCCTAGCTGATAAGGGGCATATTTTTTTTTAATTTGGGGGGGGGGGGAATCGTTAGTCTGCCAATCTTGAGAAATCTTATGGAGAGAGTTGCAGTCAAGTTCTTGTCTACGACGTAGGAATTAATTAAAGTAAAGATCCGTTGGATAATAAGCATTTAACCCGAAAACATTAAGTGGTTTTGAAATATTTGTTCACCGTCCTTCTAAATTATTTCTTATAGCTTATTGGAAGGTACATGTTTCTTAATTTACCGTATTACCCGAAAATAAACCGCACATTTTATTCAAATTTCAATTGTTGAAAAAAGCTGCGATTTATATTTATATTTGCGATCTTACAAAAATGATAACATTTTGTAATGACGTATACAGTAAAAAATATCATGATTTCTGATTTTGAAATAACGATAATGCAACATTAGCATTTAGAAACTGGATGCATTGTTAAGGTAAGGAAGGTACTTGTAAACTCCAATAAGCACTGTCGAAAGTTACAGAAAGTTACTCGACGAAACAAGTCTCTTTTCCTATTTTCTTCTCAGAAAATTTCTCTTTCTGCTGCGTCGACGTTTGCAGCAACATAGACTATCAGCAGGGTGACCATTACTTTGGCTTCCCTTGACAATGGCTTATGCGCCGACAAAGGCTTATTTACTAATTAGCGTATATGACATACAAGGCCAAATAAGCATAAAGTATCAACAGAAAGCTAACATAAACTAATTAAATAAATTTTTTTAATTAATGAAAGGAAAGATAACAGAAAGCTACCAAAGTATAGCGCACAACTGTAACCTAGAATTTTCAATAATGATGTTGTATGACGTATGCACTGTATTTATGCTAAAATAAAATATTGTTATGCATCTAACCTACCCATTTTTACTTGAAACCATATTTACCTTACCACATTTAACTTGAAATCGTTGAATGATCAAAAGTTTAAAAGCCAAAATATTCTTGTGACTTTTCTTCAAACAAAAGGATAGAAAGTCAAATAAAAACCACAAATACTATTGTAAATTACATAAAAATGTAATTAGGTAAATAAAAATCAGCTTACACGCGTATATTGGCCAAATAACATGCTGTCAAAAAGAACTTGAGCTTTTACATAAAGCTTCAATTACTAAAAATCCTTTAAACGCTTTACTAAAAAAATTTTAGTTAATAAAAGCAATGAATAAATATATCATTAAAGCTTACATCTCTTTAGTTCCATACTATTTGTGAATGAATCGTTACTAAACTATTACTCGTACACTGCTGGCCCCTAAAACTGCAACACCAGGAAGGAATGATCTCACAAACGTCAAGATCACATTTGTGTGTGTGATTATGGCAGCAAAGCCTCGAGGGCTATCTGCCTAAGAGGAGGAATGCCTTCGTGGAGGACTTTCTAAGGGAAACTGGCTCGTATACACGTTACACATGGGGAAAACCACGAAAACGCCCATGCAGCCAGCCCGTTCGCGGGATTCGAACCTCGGACCGAACTACCAGTGTTCAGCGACTTTACTGCTCGGCCGCTGGTGGGCCTCAAGATCACATGAAAGGAAGATGTTGGGATATGCAAATGATTAGCATTTCACCGCTATTAGACGACTCAGAAGGGAGAAACGACATCTGAAGCACTGCATAAAAGAAAAGTTGTGTAGTGGATTTCTCATTTGGAAAGTAGTAGTAAGGTTGGAGTTTGCTCAAAATATCGTGCTATGCCTCGAATAAGATGAGGAAATGCTTACCAGCAAGTTTCGAAATTCGATAGAGGCAAGATCGTTGCCTATCGAAAGTGTAGTTTATCGTTCCGTTATATCACCGGTCAACACTGGTCGACATCCAACCACTGTCATGCGAATATAGAATCAATAGATTGCTGAGGGCCATACTGAACGGCATGCAGGATCTTAACGCCCTCCCATGATTAACACCAGAGAGGACAGACATATTGTGAGGTCAGCCCTGAAAAACCGTACGATCACATCACGCACCATTACTCAGGAAATGGGCATGTTTGCAGCACGCCCAGTATCAGCTCCTAAGGTGCGTCGACGTTTGCAGCAACACAGACTATCAGCAGGATGGCCATTACCATTTCTTTGGCCCTTGACAATGCAGCATAGAGAGAGACGGCGAATCTGGTGCGCCAAACGACAAAGCTGAGTACACGAATGGCACAATATCGCCTTTTCAAACGAGTCTCGGTTCTACGTGCAATATTCGGATGGCCGTATACACGTCTGGAGAGTCCGAGGAGACCCCACGTCGCCTGCATGCATTCGATATCGGCATATTGGTCCTGAACCTGGTGTGATGGTTTGGGCGGTCATTGGGTATACAACACGCACATCTCTAGTTCGGATCGATGGTAATTTGAACGCAGATGGGTACATTTCTGACATCTGACGTCCAGTGGTTGTTCCCTGTCTTCGAGGCCCCCAAACGCCATATTCCAAAAAGATAACGTAAGACCATATGTTGCACGTCGTGGTCTGACCTTCCTCGATACACAGAGTATTCAATTACAGCCCTGGCCTCCACGGTGTCCACATCTGTCACCCATTGAAAACATCTGGTCATGGGTTGCTGAGAGACTGGCTCGCCTCCCCTCTCCAGCTAATAAAAGTTAATAAACGGTTAATGAAGGGTGGCATAGACTTGAAGCAGCAAGCAATGAGTTGCCCATTTCTGTCATCCAAGCCCAGTTTGACTCCTGCCTAATGGGGTAAAGGCCGTTTTAGCTGTGGCAGCATTTTCGCATCTCTGCAAACAGCATTTTACTAATTTCGCATCTCTGTAAACCTCCAAAATGCTTACAAATTTAATCATTTTGTCTTCATGGTATACTTTTTACGTGCATTTTGTTTATTTGTTTTTGTTCATGGTGTTGTAACTTTAACGGCCAGCAGTGTATTTAACTTCAGAATAAAGAATGCTAATAAATTTCTTCCACGTCTCCTGAGTCATTTGACGGCTCATGTCAGTAAACCTAGAAAAATGAGTTCACCTCTTCGTTCTCAAATTTCTGTGCATTCGAATCCTAATCTTTGGAACATTTATTTGTAAACTCTACTGTCAATAGCCATTAGTTCAGTTTCATTTTGCATTCTTTTCAAAACTGAAGCTGATGTGAATGCTTCTTGAAGACTGGAATTTGAAGATAAGAATTTTGACCCTTATAAATGGTCTCACCCAAACAAAAGAAGGGTAGAAGTGGCATTTTAAAAGCAATAATTGAGAATGATCCTCATCAAGTACAATGTTTAGCCTGAAATGGATAAAAACTGCAATAAATAACAAAATGCGGTACGTTGACTTTTAAAGCAGTGCCCCAGTCCAAAGAAGTGCTTGGATAGTAAGAGTAAATGATACCCACAGAGATAAATGTCACTTTACTAATAATCCTGCTCTCTCGCTGTTTTCAGTTCAGCTTTACTTCGGGTTTGAGTTGATTCTTTGACAAGATATTCAACATTTAAAAAACCAATATATTTTTTGTCGCAAAAATTGAAATTAGCCACAGATTTTTATATTATTAAACTGTATTTATAATGTTGCTTCATTCTATGATTGAATTCTGTGATTTTGTGATTGATTGTCTTTTTCTTATCAGTATGTAGAATATTTCATCGACCGAGGAGTACTGGGAATGTCTAAAGAAGTTAACCATGTAGTGCTGGAATACAGGGGGGACCCCATCAGTCCCAATACAAGGTCCAAATTCGACAGTTCCTCTAGTCTGGTTGTCCCCGTCATGCCACCTACACTTATCGGTGTCTGCCGCCTTCTACAGATATATTATGTTCTTAAGGTAAGTAATTCATTTAATTTCATTATGTTCTAAGGTAATTGATTCATTCTGGAATTGGGAAATAGGATTTTTCAAATTTTGGAAAGTTGGAATTTTGTGTTTTATCATCAAATTTTGTTATTTTTTCCTTCGGCTATTCAGAAGCTAATTTTTCGTATCATTATATGTTTCTAAATGAAGAGAGACATATTTACTTTTTCCCAGAAATACAGTACGCTAAGTTTAAAAAATCTTTCCTATCATATGCTCTTAAGATTACGTTATTTAAAACACGAAATATATCAAATCAAAAAGTAAAATTTTTTCGTGCTTAAACATTTTTCTCTGTAGCCGAAAAGTAAGTTTAATTTAAATGGGAGCTATTTATGCAATTTTTTCAAGAATATAAAAGTTTCTTAACGATCATGTTGTATTTTAATGCTTTTAAGTGAGTTCGTAATTTGAAATAGAATTCTTAGTCCGAATTATAATAAGTAAATTGTTTTCCAGTTTTGTTTCTTAAAATAATCTGAGTTTGTAAAAGCGATATATTTTAGCAGTCTAGTAGATTTGAAATTGTTTACCAAAAAGGTGCGAATCGGATAAGACTATCCCTAAGCAGAATTTAAGTAAACAGAGAAAAGCTTTAAAATCTATATTTAGAAAGTTCAGCAAGATATGGCTGGGAGCGCGCCATTTTGTTTTCATCGCCTCATTTTAAGACGGTAGAAGTGAGAGTGAAAATGCACTTTTACTTTAGAATCAAATCTTAATTTCCGACTTACATGCAATGTTTTGCATTGGCCGCTATTAGTGAAATATTATATTTTGTATTTTTAACTTCCTTAGATTTTAGACACACGTGATGAACAGTTAACGTTATGCTAGCACATTTCCTTGGAAATATACGGGCAATAATATTAAGAAGAAAACATAGTTCGGTTGCAAACATTAATTCTTGCCCAGTAGAATCTCTGGAATGGCATAACTAATACTACAAAAACTATTTGATGCAAAAACTTTCTGAAGGTAATTATGTATTTATTTTATAGTCTTAATAGGAAAGGGAGAGTTTTTTAATTAATTTTCTTGGATGTGCAGTAAAATATCATTTAACAATATTCCGCTTAATCATAACCCCGCAAAATATGGTTTGGGGGAAAAGTAAATAACGTTGAATGAATAAGCCCAGAAGCTAAGTCATTTTCAAATTTTTAAATCTTTCTTTTATTTTCACTTTTTTGGCATAAACAGATGTTTTATAACGAAAACAAACGATTTCCGAATATTATACTGTAAACAAAAACAATGAAATGTCTCACCAGCCTTAGAATTTCACGTAATCATGGAAATTGATAATTTTCAAACCTATATTCTAAAATCTGAGAGTCACCAAATAACATGATATTGCTAATTCTTGTTAATTTTTTTTTATAATTTAATTGTCTACATGTAGAATATAAATAACTAAATTAGAAGTTTATTCTCTATGAAAAGTGGTTTTCTTTTAAATAAAAATTTTAAAAAAAAAACTTATTTTTCTGCAATGATTTAAATATCGAAGTCCTAAACATATGAAGTACCTCTTGCTCAGAGAACAGCAGATAGCATTCAAGTTATAACTTGATTGGTCATAACTTGAATTGGCCTGGATCTAAATATTATCTTGATATTTGAAGGCGAATCTTTTTAGTAAATGGCGGATAACCTTGATTGCGATTTCATTGGAAGATTGTGTTTATTTGTTTGGGGCAAAGCACGCTAGGGTTACCTGCCTAAGGCACGGGTGCCTTCGGGGAGAGCTTTCTGAGGGAAACTGGCTTGTGTCCACATTACGTATAGGAAAATTCTCGAAAATGCCCATGCAAGCAGACCATTCGCTCAGAATCAAACTCGGGGTGAACTCAGGCCAGTGTTCAACGACTTTACATCTTTGCTGCTGGTGGGCCAATTGATTAGAAGAAACCTCTGCAACTCTCAAAGTTTATATTTTAGAAGTGTTCGTACATTTGGGAATCTCATCATAATGTGCTGGAGGACAGATAAATGGATTTCCGATGGTCAGCAACAAAATACGGAAATATCATGAATTGCAATTTTATGTTCTGTAGATGTAAAGGTTCATTTAATTTAAGGCCCGTAAATAGGAAACTAAGGCCTAGTTAAGTAAGTAAACTTATATAGTTTGTCGAATATAATGATTTCCTATGAACGAGGCCGTTCCTAGCGAGGGTGCAGCGCATAAGTTACGCGTGCGACCGGACTTTCGCGATATCACGCCTAAATATTTAAAATTCATTGTAAGTACTAGTCATATGTAAGTACTTTTTATACAATTTGCCTTATGTAAGTACTTTTTATACAATTCGCCATATGTAAGTAATTAGTGATTATGACATAAAAATTTTATCAATAACAGTCTGGGGTACTGTAAAAGCAGCGTGAATTCTTGAGCTCCTAATGCTCACTTTCCCGTTTTCGTAAAAGAAAAACAGCATTATGAAAAGATTTCGAATGATTTGGTAAATTCTTAAAGCCTGTGCCTTTTGAACATAAGCAACGATTAGGCTTTGTTTGTATGTGTAATCCACAGCTAGATCATAATTTGCTAAAGAGTTAATTTCTGTGAAAATCCTCTTTTTACAAAAAGTTGTGAGAATTTATAAAGTTTTTGGAATTAATAGATCGTAATGGATATGTGAATTTGTCATATGCCACTGAATTTGTCATATGTTTATATAATATGTGAGTTTGTCATATGCGTGTATATATATGTATATGACAAATTGACATATATATGTGTGTGGTATCAGTTAGTTCAACACAGCCACCAGAGGGCATCACGTGTGCGCCGACAGCGAGAGCGAGGAGATAGATGTTTGATTACTTGAACATTACAGCTATATGGTTGATTCCAAGCGAAGGTGAAAAGTAAAGAACTGTACATGATAGCGGGTGCGAGCAGACGCCGAGCAGCTTTTCAAAAATATTTTACTGATGCGGAACTTTATTTTAATTCAAATCTTTAGCTTTTCGATTATTATTCATTAAATATCTGTGGTGTGGAAGTGTTATTTACTTAAGAATATCATCTTCAACTCTCCACCCACATATATATATATTATTTTCTGTGAGTTAAAGCTCTAGTAGACCAATTAAGTAGAGCATAATGGAAAAATCATGGTTTGAGAGACTTTTCTACAGCCAAGTTTCGAATTTTTTATCTAACAATGCCCATATGCTCATACTTGCCTATACAATGCTTATATGCATATACATCTGCTTTCTATAATAAAATATGCTGCATTTAGTAGCATTCATTCTTTCCCCCCCCCATCTTGATTATTAATTGACTTGTTGATCAGGACGATCGTATCATCCGCATATTTTGTGATTTTGCTATTACCGTAGGGTGAGCTCATTGATAAGGATATTAAAAAGTAGCAAAATATCTTCTTGATTGATTTTGGAGCAGAACGGATAGTTCCATTTCTAATCTTTAAGAATCAGTTATCAATATATATTAGTCATTATAAAAAAAAAGCCTTTCACACACGTGTTATCTATAAGTAAGTTATTTGAATACGGCCATGTCCACGGAGGCTGTTTCCTGGCCCACAAGGAAGGAAGCTAACTGAATAAAATCAAGCACAGTTTCATTACTGTTAAGATATGCAAATGATTCAAGTTTTAACTTCCGTGTCCAAGGGACGTTAACAACAGCAAAACTTGCCGCCGTTACTTGCCACTATGAAAAGTCATCCCGTTGAACGTAATTTCTATTTTGACTAATATGTTATTTTCAAACCATCTGTTTAAAGTGTACTGTGCCATTGACTAATTTGCCACCAAGAAACGAAAAGTGGCATCGTAGGACTGCATGTAGGCAGATGGTTATTTCGTCGTATTATTTACCAAATTGATCACTCAGATGCTACTGAAGCAAGTTATTGGCGGCATTTAGAAAGGTATGTGCACATTCGAAGTTCAAAACGCTGAAAGAACTTTCAGAGACAGTGATGAGTAAAGACTGAAATGTTGTGGGGCATCCCCCATCTGCCATGGTTGCGGACATTGAGGAAGCAGTGATCCTCTCCCTCTAGCATCTTGAAAGTGCCATTACCATTAGCAGACGGCTGCATGCCTCTGGTTTATAGGAATGCAAACTAGTATTACGACTAAAATATAAGTATTAACGGTATTTCTTTGTTTCGTGGAACATTATGATGGAGCTGGTGCATTAAGATGTGTTTGCAATCATGGCCGATTAAGCAGTTCTTAACAAAACATTCTGGACATACACAGTTAAACTGGGGCAATATGCGCGCCTTTATACTTATACTGGTAATTTTCCATTTTTATAACATTATTTTAAGTAAATGTGAGATGCGGTGGAGTACATGTGAAAAAGGACAGAGAAGGTGAGAAGAAAATGCGTAGATTACTATATGAATGTTAAAGAGATTCTAGCTTTCTAGCTCTACTTTGTTGTTGCTAATCAACAAAAGTTTTGGTTTGCAATATTTAACTGTAGGGCCGCCCAGACGGTATATTGGTTAGGGGAGCCTGACTGCGATACCAAAAGACCCGGGTACGAAGAAGGCATGGATGTAAAATTGTCTGTCCCTTCATAAGAGGTAACTGTGGCCGCCTATTAGGTGCCTCCACAATAAAATGGCTACCAGTTCTGGCCTTAGTAGTGGCCAATGCCTTTATAGGCAAGTGCCTGCTATTTGTAAAGATATATATATATTTAACTGTGTCGGCTAAAAGACTTTCTGCGTTACGATAGTTCATGCGTCATGAGTAGTATATAAGAACTGTATGACAGGAATTAATTCTGAAATGGCGTAGTTCAGAAAGATTTATTATTAGCTATATTGATATCTTTAGAATAGTAAGGAGAAATCAACAAATTAAAAATAAGACTTAACTAAATAAGACAAATTAAAAATAACACTATTGTAACTTAGAATTAAAGTTTTATCTTCTGTACTCTTTATGTATACAAAAATATGTATATATATACACATATTTTCTTTTTACCTCATTTTTATATGTCATTTTACTGTACAGGTGTGGGTGGAAATGGAAAAGTCCGGAGATGATCTTCACATGAATTTTCCAATCACGATAGCTACCTGTCCTTTCAGAATTCCCAATTCAAACCAACAGCCAAAGATAGAATATGGTAAGTTTATTGGTAGAAAAAACTTACATTATTCATAAAAGACAAAAATATTTGGCTAAGATGTTATATAAGCCCCGGGACACATGTGGTCGCCAAATGTGGCGATATTTTGCGTTGGATGATTTTGGTGATATTTTGTTTGTTTCTCCTTTTTACTTGAAAACTTTTGTGGGGAGTGTGGTTTTATTTCGTCGGGGTGGTTTTTTGGTAATGTGTAGAATAATGGCGTGTAGTATCATGAAGGAAGATGTGGAGAGATATCAGCCACGTGTTTTAAAGTTAGATTTATTTTGAGAAGATATATTGTTGCAGTTATTAATGAAGCATTTGTTCATGGTTGTCTGCATGCTGACAGAAGTGTATTTTTGCAGTTTTTATGGGATACAGAATTTTTGAGTCGAATGGTTCTCAACGAAGTTTGAGGTTTGGATCCTAGTTTTTCTGCAGTTTGACGTTTTTATCGTAACATTTGAAATTTTGAATTGTAGAAAGACTTCTGATGTAGCTAAGTCGTGGCATTTTGGTTCACATGCTTTGTGTGATTAGCGTACTTTTAGAAATATATGTGATATGTCTGTCCTTATAAGTTTCTGTTTGAAATTAATATTTTGATATTTTGGGAACTATTTTGAGTGGTAAGTGAATTTACTTTTTTATTGTTTTAATTTTGTAGACAGTTATTTTAATTGTTGCATTGCTTTAATTTTGTATTTTTATTTTTTTAATTTATTTGTGTTGAAATTGTTTGGAATTTATTGTTGTTATATTAGTTCAAATGGCTGTAGTATAGAATTGGGTGCCTCTTCAATTGGCATCAAATTTTGTTCAATTTTGGTGATGAAACCCCATTTCTGGTTGCCATGATAGTTTTAACTCGGTTTTGGCTTCCTATTTTTTAAGTGAAATTAGATTGATATGTACATGGACAAAGTCAACGCAGTCCGCAATTCCGTGTTTGTGCAATTCTCTGATGTTTTTTAAGTGAAAATATATCGATGTGTAAATGGATACAGAGTTTGTGCAATTCTTTAGCTTCTTATTTTGGTTTTGTGCAGCAGCCATCTTAAAATTGTGCCTTCCTGGCGCCAATCTTGGTGTCAAAAATAGAATCGCCAAAAAACACAAGGGGCACCCAATTGTAGACTTTTATCGTTAAAATTTGTCGTCAAACATTTTTGATAAGAAACTTCCCGCTTTTATCTAAATTTTTTGTTTTTATTTCGGACTTTTTGCGTAAATCGTCTTCATAAACCGCTTTTTCAGTCATTTTAGGCTTTAAGTTTGAAATGAAAACAAAAAATTTAGATAAGTAAAATCGTGGAGTTTTCGCCAAAAATGTTTAGCGAGAAATCTTTCGTCAACCCAGTCCGTATATGACAGCTGTTCTAAGTATTTTAAACTTTTTTAATTTTTTGCATCTTTCCTGTTAGTTCTGATGTAAATACATACTATCAAAATTATTTCAAGGAAATGCATTGCAAAAGTGAAATAGCATACTACTGCGTGACGTGATATCTTCTGTATCAATACAGATTAAACAGGAGAAAAAGAAATGGTAACTTATTTTCGTCAGAACCTCACTTGCAGTTCAGGCTTTTGATAAAATTATAATATTATCTTCGAGTCTTGAAAGTTCATAACTTGATTTTGTACTCAGAAGGCTTTTTACTTGGATCATTTTCTATTCTAATAAGTTTCTGAGATTTTATTCTTAGAATATGTGTTCTAAGAATAGAAGTTTCCTTCCCATATTTTGTTTGTGTTTAAAAGAAAAAAAAAAAAAAAAGATGTCTGATCGATGGCTGAAATTGTTCAGTTTGCATTTTCATGCATTTCATGAGGAAGCTACTTAAAAGAAGTTTTGTTAAATTTTTAGGTATCATGAAACTGCACTGTTTTAATATAAAAAAAAAATAGTAAAGTATGGTATAACGTGATAATCTGGAAAATTTGCCAACAGATTCTATTGTTGCATTATTTCATTCAAATAGGGCATCATAGGAATGCATATCAAATCCAAATTGGTACCAGCCCTCAAAAAAAACTAAAGCAGGCGTGTCTTAGAACTGTGCACTTAGACAACTATCCAGATGTTTATGAAGCAATCAATTGGACAAATGACTCAGTTAGACTTAAATATCTCAACTCACACCATGCACGCAGTGAACAACAAGACTTGGCTTAAAGCTGATAGAATATATAAAAGTTAACAGTTAATATAGGAAGGTGTAGCACTGTGTTTTTGTAGGCATAAAAGAAGGTAAAAAGGTAATATATATCACCTTTATCAATAAGGAAAACAATCTAATAGTTCAAAACTATAAATTATCTTAATATTATCTTCGGTGATAAAATGGCATTTAAAGATCAAGTAAATTGTGTTCTTTATGAAGCAAACCCTTGAAAACTATCTAATTGAACACTAATTTTTATTTTATGATAAAAGCTGCATTTTCATATATATGCTTCTCCATTAGGTTTTGTTTCCGGTGTCAAAATTTTGTAATTCTATAACGACAGCAAGCTATTATTTTCAGTAAGTTTCTGTTATAAATACATAGTTGCATTATTGAAATAGCATACTTCAGATATTTACTAAGCGCAGTATCATTTCCTTCTTAGAGTTAATAATTAGAAATTAAATATTCGGAGCTCAAAAACTGAAATAAAAGAGAAATTCCGAATAACGTAGTTTTATTCTCACGTTATCATAAAACTAAGAATTAGCCGTAAAATATGGAATTTATAGAAATTCCATATTCAATATTCATTAAAATTCCATGTTCATTCCATATTCTCCCTGTCCTTCCTATTCAAAAAGACTCATTAATATGACACCTGATATTTAAAAGTACCTCATTGAGAGGTTAGTTATTTTTTCAAATTCCCGAACACTTGCAACTTAATTCACTTTGGAAATGACGAATACTCGTCTGCAATTTAGCCCTTTCATCGAGTTCATCGAGAACGCTGCACAAAGTGCACAACAGTAAACGACAGATTTAACGAGGACATTATATCCCAGTTTTGATGAAGGGTAACAGATCCGAGAGTTTCACACTCCTCCTCCCTTACCGCCTCAGTAGTACTTTAAGTGTCCTCATGCCGCGCAGACAAAATACATTTACAAACATTCCAACTTTTTTCAAGATATTTAGATGGTTTGGCAATAATACGGCTATCAGCAACACGAACTTCTTAAATTAACGGAGCGACCTCAAAAGATCAGTTGCATTTTTTCTTACGCCCTGAAAATTTTGCTCATCATCCAATGCAGCTATAACTGCTATCATTGATATATTGCTCGCAGTTGTTCATGCTTTCGGTGTTAAACAGAAATTAATCGTAGCAACCTCTATAGGTCGAATCAGAAGTGCGATGAGAGAGGCCGTTTGGCTTGGAGGACAGAACTTGAGTCCGTGTCATGGGAGTGGAATCCTCTATCGCTAGGGCAAAAGAGCTCTTGTGCGCTAGATTCAAAAATTTCGACTTTTTCAAATTTGAGAATGCTGAGTGGCTCCGAGGATGCCATATACCTAAATTAACTTGAAATGTAGCACTACCGGTGATGCTGCTGGTGGTGGCAAGGTTAGTGGTAATGGCTGTAACCAATTTTCATCACTACTCCAGGACGCTATAGGGTATCGGCTTCCTAGATTAGAATTGTAAAGGGCTAATACCTACTTACTTAGGGTAAAACATACGTGGCTTCTACGCTTATATTTAACGTAGCATAACATCATCCACTGCGTTACTTGGTCTGTATTTCTGTCAAAAGTATGACTGCAGAGCATCATTTTTTCAGTTTCAACTCCCTTTTATGGAGTTATTAATCGTAGTGAACTACAATTAGAGTAAATAAACTAGAGAAATGTGGTATTACCGAGCAGCTATGCGGAAAACTTCCTTATTGGTGACCAGGGAGAGATAGACACAGTATTATTATTTGCAACAAATAACGGATGACAGTCTCTAAAAAAAAGCAAAATATTGTTTTTCTGATATTTTAATAATTAATACACTCTCAGTAACTGTGTTAAACAAATGGTCGTAAAAAATCCATTTCCCTATTTATGGTTTAATAATCATTCTACAGTATATACTACTGACATACTACTGACAATCATTTCTACAGTCAAAGTCGCATTTTTAGAAACATGTAAAATAATAAATATATATTATTAAAAAGTATGATGTAGTTCAACTCACGATTTTCATGAATTTTTAGAACATTATACTTTTAATGCAGATTTAATCCTAGCCAAATCCTCATCTGTTTTCACTTTTTGTTTCAAAGGGATTTTTTACTTTCGATATTTCAATTTTCAAGATTAGAAAATTTTGTTTCAAGAAAACCGTAACGCTATAACATAACTCAAGTTTTAAAAAGGTCTTGTTTTCTGTATTAGGTATGGTTACCAATGCCATTACTCTTTTATTTAAGCAGGGTGTAAAGTTTAAAGGGCGAAGAGCCATTGTGACCTCACTTTATACAGTCCTGTGATATCCTGTTGCACTTTCATATTTTGCGTTCACCCTGAATAAAAAGGCTGCAGTGTGAATCGTTCTTATCCACCCCATCATGAAAGGCTGAAATGACACGATTTAAAAAAAGTCTCAACTGAGAAAGCCTGAAATAGGGCATAACTAAACGTTACGTTACAGGTATGCTCTCAACGAAGCTGTATTTCGTTGATTCTCTTGATTACCAGTAAAGGATGTCACATGTGCAACAATATTACCTTTTGATCTGGAGACTCAGAAGAGCTAAAACTGGGAAGAACTAAATTGAGAAGATCTGTTCCTTCGAGGAAAATTATGGAACAGAATTCATAAACTCCTAAAAGTTGTAATTAGAAAGGACTAAATCTGAGGGGCAAAAAAAACTTTGTCTCTCATGACGTGCATACCGATTGTGTGTATCTTGATTAATTTATATTGCTGTTTTTAAATGTAAATATAAATTTCTCAGATTGTGTATTTTAATAAATGAAGTAATGCCGAAAGATGTGTATATTTTTATTCAACACACGTAGCTGAAATCTATTAAGTTTTAATGGCCTTTCTTTTTCAGTTTAAAGTATATGAGGAAATTTGAATTTTGTAAGCAAATGTCCTTTCATAAAAACGTTTTTTAAGTGCTTATGTTAATATGACTTTTATTTATTACTTCTTTCCTTTCCATCCTTCTAGAAATGTGTTGCGACCATGTGGAAGGTGGAATGTACATCGGCCCTGAGTTCTTATTGGGGCAAGTATACGACGGGACTCTGGGATGCGTTGAAGAAGGTGAAACTGTGGTGTTGTACCGACCTGTTTACGTCTGTGTCAAGAACAAGAACAAGACAGACCAGAGTTCCTCTACTAGAACAGAAGATTCTACGACTACTCCCAAGTCACCTAAACCCGAACCCGACAGCAGAAGCTCTCAGGCACTCATATAAAATGTACTTATATTTTGAGAATTAGAACTGGTGACATGGTAGTCCATCTTCGAGGATTTATTTTTCTGCAGTTTCCAGCAAGTTAAGTAACCATTCTTTTTTCCGAACCACAGCATCTGCAAATCCATCTGTTTAGTTTGGGATTTATATCAGCATCATAGTACCACATCCGTCTTCTGTTTGAAAGTGTCTACAAGCTGTGCTTAATAGTAAAGTGTGATCTGCTCAACTGAAAACTTTTCTAGCGCATCATTTCATTTTTAAATTCCTCAAGCATTTGAGCACGTAAATCCAAAAGTATCCCGAGCTGTTTCAGCTCACAATTCGTAATATGACTCATTCTTCTGAAGTTTTTAATGAGGACGAGGATGCTTCAAGAACTGAACTGAAGAGAGAAGCATTTATTAACCACCTAATAATTCATAATTTTGGAAGTTTCGTGGCACTGCAAACTGTAAATCTGTTGCAGAGCTTATTTGGCAGCTGATTTAATACATTTTCTGAAGCACTTGATATCGTTCCTCTTCAACTGCATTGTGTGTTACTGCATAAAGCATGTATTTTTAATTTTGTGTTGTTTTATTTGTAAATATTCTAAAAGAGTTGATATGCTAGATTATCTGTAAAAATGCTTCATGTTGCCTATATTGATATCTATTTAATGTCATTATTTGAAGAACCATGTTCATTATCTCTATTTAAATCTCTAAAAATATCAGAAGTAGCCTCAGGATTACATTTTTGTTATAAATACTCTTATTACAATGAAACTAAAGTATTATCACAGTAATTCTAAATTTCATTATTATTGTAAAAATAGCTAAAAATATTGTTTAACTGCACTAAAACCTTAAGATAGTTTTAGAACTGAACACTAAACGAAGCGTTTTGATTACATTAATAAAACAGCATATTCCTGATACTTATTTCTAGTAAATATTTAATCTTTATAAGTCATGTCTTATGGAAGAAGCCTTTCACAAAACGTATACCTTAACGACTTTCGATCAGTTGATGTCATTCAGTTTTACATCTTAGATGTATAGTTTCCTTAAATTTCACTAAGCATTTCAGAAAAATGACGTAGGCTCAATGTATGCTGAATGCAACTTTTGCTAGATGGTGATCTCAAATGATAGATTAAATACATTTTGAGAGACCCGTTCAGACTATCCCTCGAAATGCTTTCGTCTGAAGCTGGATTTTGCCTATTGAACGATGGCATGATTATCTTACATTTACGACTAATAAGACTTGAATTATATGATAAAATTTAATTCTGGGCTGCTGAGACATCAGTTGAACACATTGCCGTCTTTCCCTTCTGATCTTGAGAAAATGAACTTGATGCTTCAACCATTGATTTACTCATTATTCTGTGGTGTTCTTGTTAAAATATGTTTTGTGGTATCTTGGCTGTGCATGAATTAACAGTTACTGCATTATTGCTGGAGTGCCTGACAAAATAATTTGTAACCTTTTGGCAGCTTAACCAAAAATCATTGAACCTTTGTAAAACGTGTTGATAATGTCTTCATAAATATGATTCGCTTTGTCGCACTCATTCGTGGGCCTTGTTGGGCAAGTCTTGTGATTTTTCATTAATATTGGGTCTTATGGACAAGTCTCGTATTACAAAGTAAATTTGTTGAAGCCTTTGAATCTAAAAGAAAACCTTTGTGTACTGTGAAAAATGAACTGTGGAACCATTCATGTGGACATATGTCATTAACAATATACTTTCATTCTCAGCAAACTGTGCAATATTCATTGTAGTTAAATTCGGGATGGCCAATGTCAAAGCTGTCTCCTATATGATATTGATGGAACTCCAAAAGGGCGAGTTTTTCGCAGGTCAGAGATGTATCCCCGCCTTACATAATTGTGCAGCTCGCCTTTGATTCAGCCAAAATGGCGCCAAGCGAAATTCTACATAATATAGACATCGAATGTGGATTTCTTTCCTCTCTGGACTTTTAGAAAAACTGAATAATGGCTCCTCAAAGTATATATATTTAAGAAAAGGATCGTTCTCCTTATTTGCACACATTGAAAATTAGATAGCTAAAAAGGAGGAACATTAAACAGAGGAAATATAAATCTGTTGGCAAACTTACAAATGAACTTATTTACTAAGTGTTGGAATTTCTTTTCTTTTTCAGAACAATGTAATTAAAAGCAGTTTTATTGCCGATGTACCTTGTGTCTTCTTTCATTCATTTTAACTCTGGTTTAATTTTATCCACTTCTCCTTGCAACATTGTCAGCTTTTAGAGAACACCTCAGTATTTCTCTTATTGCACAAATGCACTTGCTTCCAATAGTTAAGAACGCTACGGTAAAATCAATAGAAATAGAAAAGTATATTTTTAATTAATATTAAATTGCACCTGAAGGTAGCAAATGTGTTTATACATAAGAAAAAACAATTCTGTACAAAGATGAAAACAATATTTAATTTTCGTAAATTATGTGTTGTCGTCACATTTGGGTCATTAACAAATTGATATTTAAAGCTAAAAACAAAGAAACAAAACTTACATTAGCAAGGTATGCGACCTTCCGAATCTTCACAAAATTTATAGCAACTGCCCATGCGAATATAATTAAGAACATTTCTCCCTCCGTTAAATTTAGCGAGCGAGATGAGTTTTTCCCATTATGCTGTCTTCGGATCGTTTTGTTTGCCAGGGTAATATTTTCATGTAGGTAGGAAATAAATTTGCAGGAAATTTATTCCTACTTCCATAATACCACATAATTTTGTTCCTGGATAATTGGTTCCTGGATTCCTACCTCCAAACATAATTTTGTTCCTGGATAATGAATTCTGAGAACATCTATCCTTTTTCATTTCGCATCATCATTGTAGGTGTACAATGCACCCCACAATTTTATACACATTATATTTTTAGAACAATGGACAATACCTGGCATAGGCTAAACTAGCCAAGTAGCGTCTTAGCGGTAACAGAGGTAGAAGCAAAAGGGCGCAATTATCCAATATGGAAGCTCACCAAGAGAAGGTTTCGGTTTAAGTTGCTTATTAAGAGAAGATTTTCAGTTCTCGAAATTTTGAGTTCAGGTTCCGAATTAGCTACGTCATCAGCGTTACCAAACCATGTGAACATAGACTGACCTAGAAATCACGCACTCCAGAAAAGTTATTTTTAGAACAGAAAGGGGGGAGAAGGATCATTGCTAATTTAAATTATAATTTTGAGATTTACATATTTTTTATCTTACATTTAGGGTCGTGTGTGATATATTTTGCTACTAGTACATAACAGTATTTCACGGGAAAATGTAGATGATTTAAAGTAAAGGGGACTGAAAAGTACAGTAAATCTCAAAAAGATAGAGCCGTTATGAAATTGAGTATTTTATAAAATCGAAAATTTATATGAAATATTTATGAAATGAAAATAAATTCTTTTAAAATTTCACATCATACAAAATAACCCTTTCATCTAGAGACTTGAGTAAAATGAACACCGTAAAAATATTCTGAATAAGCATTACTGGGAAAAATGTCTCCGGAAAATGTATCACCGAAAAGATGCACCTGGTGAAAATATTGCTGGAGTGATAAAAATTATAATAATTTTTAATAACCTTATCAGGTACATATAATTCATCAATATATTAATATCAGGTACATATATTCTTATCAGGTACCTGATATATAATATTCTTATCAGGTACATATATATGTACCTGAGTCCATAAGGGCTCTTAGTCTCAAAACGGGATTTTGCGTTGAATGCATATTGCGGGATAAAAGTCTAAATCACTTTTCAAATAGTTGTCGCCAAATATTATCGCTCTGTCTTACGTTTAAAGAAATTAAATAATAAAGAATTTGCATGAATGTATGCTTTTATTCGCATTGTGAAAAAATAACGGTACCTAGAGTCATCAAATTTTGAAAAACATAGTCCCAATATGGACACCTGGAAGCCCAAATTTTTAATTTCGAATTTATTTTATTGCGTATTTCGTATTTTATTAAACTTAAGCGAATTTTTGATTAACAGATTAAATAATTTGAAAGCAAGTAATGGCAGTGCTGTACGGGGAAAAAATATTTTTATCTCTAGCGCGCAAGACTGTCTGTAGGAAATTCTAAAGATATGCAGTTTTTAATATTTTATTGTGTATTTCAAATTTTATAAAACTTTAGAGAAATTTTTATTAACAAACTCAACGATTTTAAAACGAACAATGGCAACACTATACGGAAAAAAATTTATCTCCAGTGCACGTGACTATCTATTGGAAACTCTAAAATTAGGCTGTATTTAAATATTTTTAGCCCAAATGCTCTCGAAACGTGTATATATGTAAATGAAAAAATGCCCCTTTGGGCGTAATATAAAATCTGAAAGCTTTGAAATTTTTTTAGTTGTTTTATTATTTTTTATATCTAAGAGAGAAATATAGAGGATTATTTTAATAATAAATATAATTTTCATTTATTTGTTGCAGTATGCTCTTTCTTACTAAAAAATATCATATTTAAAAATGATTATATTTTCTATATATCCTCGTAAATAAGGAATATATTTTTAGTTTCCTGTTGTCTGTATTTCGGTGCATTACAAAAGCCTTCAGAATACATTCAAGCCTTCAGAATTTTGCACAAAAATTAATTCTTTCCGTAGTAACAAGTGTAACATTTGCAGTAGAAATTGTTCTAGATATATGTAGTCTTGTTTTTTCAATAAGAGAATGTCTGTTACCTATACATTAATCTACTACAAAGATAGGCATATTTAACAGTAGGTACGAAGTAGATTTTGCACTCGAGCTTAGTGAGGGGAATGTTGTAGTGCTCCATTTAGATGATCAACGTACTAGTTAAGCAGGTGTTCATATCAAGTCATTGTTTTTCAGTTTTCTTGGGCTATTATTGTCGAATGCTTTGACTTAAACATGCAGATGAGTTGGAATTTAGAATTAGTATTCCATTATTTCAATGTTGAGACGCCTCCTGAAATCTTTGTCATAAATAGTAAAATTTTTAATGCCAAAAATCTTAGTAGGTATAGTTTCTGGAACTTATTATTTTTATACAGCTGTTTTGCAGTCGGAGAACACTTTCTACTTAGAAATTTCTTGCTATAGGATCTGCGTAAAAATTAGATTTCGTATCATAGATTATGCACTTAAAGTAATATATCTAGCATCTAAATATGATTTGATTTTTTTCCTTGGATTGAAAAGGCGACGATCACTTTAGAACCAATGTTAAAAAATAATTGAACATAATTTCCATTTGAAGATGAATTTCGTATATTTTTTTAATTATAAGTTAATTATAAATTAAGAGATAGCTTATATCCAATAATTTATATAAGGCTGTCGTGCTGGTACATTTATAAAGACTTACCTCTCCTTTCCTTGAGTGCTGTAGTGGTGCAAGTAGTAGCACATCCTGATTAGTAGTTACAATGAAGCATAAAATTTCCTTTCTGAGTTATGAAATTTACTTCACTTTTGCTAAAACATTTTACTGTTAACTTCTGTAAAATTTATGTCATAATTTTAATAATTTCTCAAAGTTATTTAAAATGATTAACAGCACTGATTTTCGTTCTGATTAACGTTTCTCCCGAATACCGAGTGAAACACCTATCTTTCGCAAATTACTCTAAAACGAAAACTTATTCATCAGTTTCGAATTTCGACTCGGATATGGAAATTGAATGAAACATGATTCTCTTTCTAAAGCTCAAATTTGAGCTTGATATAGAATAAAAGGTGAAAGATACTCGAGTTGTAACTGGCAGTTTGAGATTCATTAATCATTCTCATTATGTTGTTTTTAATTATTTAAACTACGATGCATTTAAAAGTATCAGGCAGTTTTTATGTTCTCTAAAATAAAGATAGCTAATTATATTTTTAAAATATTGCTCGTCGTTGTCCGTCAATGAGAAATGCTAGCAATTTTAGATAAAAGGAAAAGCAGATATAATAGTGACGCAAAATGACGTTAAACGATATAAATGCAAATTCTTGAATAAAGCATCTGCACATATTCCAAAATAAAAATAAGGCAGAATGTTTGTTTTTTAGTCCAAAGGGGCTTTGTCCCTGAAAGACTATTGTTTTCGTTTTGAGATTTTGCGTTGAATCACTATAAATGTCCGTTTCACTTTTCAAACTGTTGCTACCAAATGTTAGAGTCCTGCATTGTAGTTGAAGAAATTAAATAATAAAAAATCTGCATAAATGTATGTCTATTTCTCGCGTTGTGATGAACAACGGTACATAGAGTCATCGAATTTGGAATGACGTAATCCTCCTACGAATATGGGCATGTGAAAGATCAAATTTAAAATTGGAATTTGTTTTATTATCGATTTCATATTATGCAAAACTTTAACGAATTTTTGAGTAACAAACTCAACAATTTAAAAGCGAGCAATGGCAATACTCTGCGGCGGAGCGGGGGGGGAACCTTTTTTACCTTCAGCGGTATCGGAAATTCTAAAGATAGGCTCATTTTAAAATTATTTTGCGACATTGCTACTGAACTGAATTTTATGGTTTAAGTGCAAAGAACATGATATATAATAGATAGAGGTAACACACAAAACGTAAAAAAAAAAAAAAAAAAAAAAAAAAAAAAAAAAAAAAACGCCCCTTTGGACGTAATTTAAAATCTGAAACCTTTCAGACATTTTTTGGTGGGGGGCTTGTTATTTTGTGTGTTTATTTCTGAAACTAACTGAGAAATAACTGCATTTTATTTGAGATTAGGTAATGTTTCCAGTTTTCATTATTTATCAAAAATTAAATACTTCATGAATACATATCCACTTAAGCTGCTGAATATATATATGCTGGTCTGTCATACTATGATAAACAATATTTACGTAGAAACTTGTGTACGAAAATGCGAAGGACCTCTAGAGGACAATGTTCGTAGGCTTATGGGACAGTGGGAAGTGTGGTAATTTCAAGCGAGAACGCTGCAGGAACACTGCAAGATGAATCAGTTTACTAACTCGCCGGATCTTATCTTTGAAGTTTCAGCAACTACACGCCAAAACATCTTGTTTCAGCACGATGGAGCACCTGCACATTTTAGCAGCACTATGCGGGAATATTTTAATAGGATATATTTCGATCGCTGTATTGGCAGAGGAGGACCAGTCGCATGGCCACCGTGATCCCCGATCTGACTTCC